TTTTTGGGGAGGCTTATTTTCAGGGAGAGGCTTATTTTAGCGCATGTACTCAAAAGCCTGATTGGGCTTATTACCAGGGGATGTCTTATTTTCGGGGAAACAGGGTATCAACATTTTAGCGTCCAGGATTCATAGAAAAATATTATCTGAGAATAAATGATAAGTCTAGGAATGAAATGTTTATTTGAATAAATAAATGAAGTGTGGTCATAAATATAACTTCCCTTTAGTCCCATGCAAAAAAAACAAATCTTCATTTTAAAATGTTGCAATAAACATTACTTCTCATAAAAACATTACAAGTTCTTTCTGTATTTAGAGGTATCTCACACAAAAGAAGATGGATACTAAACAGTAAATACTTTAAAATATTTTGGACTTCACAATTGAAACTTTATTTTCATTTCAACTTTTATGGGAGAATTTGGATGCTGAAAAGAGGAAGAAAGCAGTCTTTTCATCATAAAATAAATATAATTTGTGAAAGGAGCAAAGTCGCCTAAAAGTTTAGCATTTGGCTTTGTCCACTTCAATGGGAAAAAGTTAAGTGTGTGCGTAATTTTCCCATTTAGTTAATGGGATTTAAAGGTGTTAATTCTGGCTAGAGTGTATCTGTAGCTAAACACAAGGTAAACAAACTGCTTAAACATCTCCCCTTGGAGTATTTATCCAAAAGCTCAAACTCCCTAGGAATGTTTCAGAAGCTGTTGATTTAAGAGTTTTTGTGAATTAACAGCACTGTTTATAAAGGACATGAATTCCATGCTGTTTCAACCATGTACTCTTAGACCCTTCCCAGATGTTTTGAAAGCAAACCTGGCTTTTCCTTTAAGAGCTATTTGGATTGGCATCTCTGTTGGCCCGGCTCATACGGCTTTCAGAAGCTGCCGTGCAGAAATTAAACAAGTTCTGGTTTTTCAGCTGCTTTTTTCCCAGTCTAGGAAAAGCTTCTCTCACTTAATTCTTGCATTCTTGCAAGTTCTCTTGAAAAGCATTGGATAAACAACCATTTTTAATAGCAATAGTACTTAAGACTTATATACCGCTTCACAGTGCTTTTACAGCCTTAAGCAGTTTACAGAGTCAGCATATTGCCCCCAACAATCTGGGTCCTCATAAAGTTTGCTTTTTTAAAGAAAACAATTTTAATCAATCACATGAGTATTAAGTAGGTAAGATAGTGTACTAGTATGCTTTGATTGCAACATGAGAAGGAATGCTTTATTATGAAATACAGCATTTTTTTTAAGAAATAAGAGGGGAAGTGTATTCTCATTCATAAAATATCTACTCAGAAATCTCGCTGAGCTCAATAGGAGTTACCACTAAATAGGCATGCATAAGATTTTTCAGTGGAGGATAATGGACTTCTAGATAGCATGGACTGCAACTTTCACCATGCCTTATTCTATATTCTCTCTCTCTCCCTTCCTTCCTCTCTCCCTCCCTCCCCCCCTCTCTCTATATATATATGTGTGTGACAATAGAACTTAGACTTATATACCCCATAGTGCATTACAGCATTCTCTGGGAAGTTTACAATGCCAAAATATTTCCCCCAACAATCTAGGATGGTTATCATTTTACCAACCTCAGAAGGATGGAAGGCTGAATTAACTTTGAGCTCCGCCAGGATTGAATTCCAGGCTGGGGTCAATCAGCCTGCAATACTGCATTCTAATCACTGCATCATCAGGGCTCCTAATATATAGCTCTATGGCTGGAGACCAACATGATTTTGAGTACCACATTGTCCTTCAGCCATAGAAAGATGGAGAACAGTCAATCCCCAAAAGCCAGCAAACCCAAATAAATGCTAAAACAGAATATTCAATCCTACATTCAAAACATGGCACGAGGCTAATTAAAGATAAAAGCAGAATGGTGAATTATGCTATGTTAACTACTGATAGTGATATCCACAGCAATAGAGTTAGATTCCATTCCTGGACAAAAATTACATGCCAACCATAAACATTGCTGATTTCCTTGCAATAATACATCTCTGTGATTGGGAATTATTCGTCTTTCTTGGTTATGTGGGGTGGATGGGTGTAAAAATAGAGGAAGAAATTCCAAAAGTGGCACCCTCTAAATATGATGGCATGTCAGATCCAAAAAAGAAAGAGCCTTGGTAGTACAGTGGTCTAAGGCACCCTGTTATTAAGCTGGTTATTAAGACCAGCTGCCTGCAATTACTGCAGGTTCGAATCTCGCCAAGGCTCAAGGTTGACTCAGCCTTCCATCCTTTCTAAGGTAGGTAAATTGAGGACCCAGTTGTGGGGGCAATAAGCTGACTTTGTATAAATATACAAAAGAATGAAGGCTATTGCTTAGCGCATTGTAAGCCGCCCTGAGTCTCCAGAGAAGGGCGGCATATAAATCAAATTAAAAAAAAAAAAAGAGTTGTATTCCCAAGCTATCTGAATGGCAAAAGATTGGAGAAGGTTGGGTTGAGACCAGCAACATAGGAAAACCAAATGAAAATAGTTTGCTAAAAATCAGGATTAGCCAGAAGAGCATTATGTCTGACTCTGTTCATTAGATAGTTGTACTGAATGATGAAACAGACTGTTGATGGTTGAAATATCTTTGAACAGATTGTTGATGGATTGCTTGATGGCAGTCTGTGGGATAAAGGTATTATTTATCAAAAGACATAGGAGCAATATTTGGTAAACAAATAATAGAAAAATCTACATTTCCATGCAGCAATGGAAAACAAAGGTTCAGTTAAATGTGAAATGAGGAGGCATGAATGCCATTCTTTGTCTTTTAATAGATATGCTTTTCCAACCCGAGCGATAGCAACTGAAGGAAGGGAAATGGTGGGGTGGAAAAAATGATAGGCAAGTTACAGAGAAAAAAATGTGCCCTGTCATTTGTTTCAATCTCGATTTGCTCCTTGACAGTTTCTATTTACAAAAATAAAAGAAAAGAATTCACAAAACTGTAAGATTGAAAATACAGATATAAAATCTTGCATCAATCCAGGAATATAAGGACTGGCTAAGCCATCAAGGAGCTTTGGAGACATTTTTACTGAGAAATTATCTTGTTAAAACTTGGACATCAAATCTTACCACCACTTTGAATATGCGTTTGGCTTATCTTGGACTCATGTTTAGATATTGAAACAATCAATTTTCTTTCAGTTTTATAGAATATGCTGTGTAATTGGGGAAGCTAATTTGCCCAGTCAATTTCTGTCACTTGAAATCCTTAGGTTTAGCTTGTCAGTCACAAATTATTTTGTGGCCAAATCCACCTTCTTTACTACCATAATAGTAGTTAAAGGCTCCGTTTGATTATGCCATTATATCTATGGGATTACATGGATTCAGGCCTCTCATCTTAAAAGTCAATTTACTAAATGCTAAGCAATCTCCAGAGAATTTATTTCACAGCCTCCAATGAGTCTTTCCTGCAGATCATCAGGTACATACAGGTTTAGGACTTGAACACACCAATTTTTAACAATACCCCGCCTGCCCCAAACTAGCATCTAGCACAAGCTATTGCATTAGGTTATATAAAGGATGAATTTCCAATTACTGATTCATTTTGAATCAAATTGCCCCCAGATGGGCAAGATCCATCTCAGGGACACACAGAGAGACACAGACAAATAGTATACCATCTTTCAAATTTTGGCTCCTGGCTGCATTTCTCCAGATAGACCTCAGTGACAAAATCATCCACAATAAGCTTCCTTTCTATTGATGGGACAAGAGGCACTTTGTGTTGTGGTTAAGTCATCAGGCTAGAAACCAGGAGATCCCGAGTTCTAGTCCCACTTTAGGCACAAAACCAGCTTGGGTGACCTTGAGCTAGTCATGTTCTCCCAGACCTAGGAAGCAGGCAATGCAAGCCACTTCCAAAATCTTGCCAAGAAAATTGCAGGGACCAGTCCGTCCAGTCTCCAGGAGCCAACACTGACGCGAACACACACATACCTCCCTAAACTCCCTATTGCTGAGCACATTGTAAGCCGCCCTGAGTCTTCGGAGAAGGGCGGCATATAAATCAAATTAAAAAAAAAAAAAAAACTCCACACACTCCTACTTTGATCAGTGTACTTCGAGTTGACTCTCTAGAGTCCTCTGTACATTCACTGCTCTGCGGGGACTTTAATGCTCTACTTTCCCATGGGTAAGAAGACTACAACGATAGAGTTATCGTCCTAGCTTTTCCTTCTTAGGAACCCAACACCTTCCCACAGTTCTTGAAACGTTCGGAGCTGCAGAACTAAAGAACACCGATAAAAAAAAAAAAAGGACATCTAAGGGCAGTAGTAGCGTCACCGCGCCTTCATCGAGCTTTAGGGAGCATGCGTCGGGAGCTACGCACATGCTCCTTGCTCCAGCGTCCTGGTAGCGTGTGCACGGCTGGACCAGGAAGGGTAAAAAAAAAAAAAAGGGGGGGGGGGAAATGCCCCCGGGGGGGGGGGGGGGGGGGGGGGGGAAGAGTTGAGCTTGGACCAGCGGTGGCGCGCGAACGCGCGCGTGCGCAAGGGGATGCGTTCGCTCGCGGCCTCGCTGGATGCCATTGGCTCTTCGCGGCTGGTGCGCAAAAAAAAGAAAAAAAAAAAGGGAGCTTTGCCACCTCGGGGAGCCGTAGTCCCTTCAGCGGGGCAAAAGTTGCCAGTTGTAAAGGGTTTGAGGGGGAGGGGGAGGGGGGGCTCCGAGCGGCGGCCGCACCATAGCCGTGCGAGACGAGAGGGCGGGCAGCGAAAGGCTGTGCCCCAGTTTTGCGTCCAATCAGAGAATGAATTGTGTTGTGCACCGAGCAGGGCAGCAATGCGTAAACAACAAGCTCTGGGAAAGTCCTCCGCTTTCTCTTCCCCCCCCCCCACCTCCCTTCCCCACACCTCCCCGCGCACCGCTCCCTCACTCCACTCCGCGGCGCGAGCCTTCCTCCTCACAGACTCTCGACGTCCTCCTCCTCCTCCTCCTCCCTCCCTCCCCCGCCCCCCCCCCCCCCCCCCCCCCCCCCCCGCGCAGGAACTCCTGTCAGCTGAACGGCAGCACCTCTCGCTCCCCCGGCACCATCCACAGGAGTCCGGCGCTGCTGCTGCTGCTGCTGCTTTCGGGGGGCCAGTTCGGGGAGGAAGGGGGGGGGAGAAGAAAGGTAAGGGACCCTTCTGCCCCGGCTCTGTGAGGGAAAGTGGAGGGGAAAGGGGGGGGGAGAGGAAGGCGCCTGGTGAAGGGCAAGAGGGGAACGGCTATCCACCCCCCCCCCACCAACAACCCCCTGTCAGAACAAGTTGTGGGAAGGCAGCGTCTCTGCTCCGGCCACTTCGCGCCTTGTGTCCCGAGAACAGCCGCTCGTCCGCCGCCTTTGCCAAAGGACCGGCAAAGAGAGTTAATAACTTCTTTATTTGCCCCCCCTCCTCCTTTCTTCCTTCTCCTCCTGCCCCCCCCCCGCTTAATTCGGAGTCGCTCCCAAACGGGCTGACATGTGTGTGTGTGTGGGGGGGGGGGGGTTTAGGAAACCCGACTAGAGAGAGACCTTTGGGAGAGGTTGGCTTTTAAGCTCCGCAAAGGGGAACCGAGGGCGGCCAAGCAAACCACCCCACCCCCGTGGGGGCCGAGGGCGGCCTGGGGGTTGCTGCGTCGCTTCTTCCATTCCGGATTTTTCTAGCCCAGCAAGCAAGACAGCCGCCCGCTCGCCGGCGTCACTCGGGTTTTATTTTTTATTTTATTTTATTTTTCCAAAAGAGCGAATGAGGGGTGGCAGCATCTGCTGCTCCTCTCCGTCCCGAAGGCGCCTTTTTGCTTGCCTTCCGCTTTTGGTTTTTGCTGGGAAGCCAGCCCGTGTTGTTATGTAAGGTGGTCACAAGAGGAGGGACGCCGCAAGTTGTGACTGGGGCGAAGAGGGAAAGAGACAGACTCTCTCCCTCTCTCTCTCTCTCTCCTGTCTTTCTCGGGTGCGATGTTTCTGGCCCTGCTCAGCCGGAGGAAACCTCTGCACACGCGCAGTCAAAAATTCCCAAAAGTGAAACTGAGCAGACGATTGTGCGTGCACCTGACTCGGCAGGTGCCCGAGTCCAAAGGGAGGGTTTTTGGTTTTTTTTTTTTTTTTAAAGGCTCGGGATGGAAACGTCACCTACGGAGTGAGGTGTATTACCACCTGTCTTTTTTGGGGGCACGTGGGTTTTTTACCCTACCTCCCTCTTCCCCCCCTCCTCCTCCCCGCCCGGTGCTTTCGTCATGGAGGAAAATAAGAGGCAAATCGATATCGGGAGCCGTGGGTGGAGTTAAAAGAACTCAGGGGCGTAATCGAATCCCGCCGATTCTGGGTAAAAGGATTTGTGGATTAGAACCCACGTGTGTTTTGCTTGTTAATTCGGCCTCGCAAAGGATGACTTGAATGGATGAATCATCAGTTCCCTGGAAGAGTGACTCACTTCTGCTACGCGCGCCCGCGAGCATGCATGCTTTAGATTAGCTTTTCCAATCTCGGATCGAAGTAGTAGAGGGTTAGCAGAGGAGAAACTAATTATATATATTTTTAAAAAAGCTGCTCTTTTGGTGTTCTATTCCAACAAATTTCATTGGGAGCCGAACTGCCCTTTTGGATTTTGTCTCGGCATGTTAAATTATCTTAAGTCTCTGATTAAATGAGTATCTTGTGTCAAGATGACATTCGTGTAGTTTGCAATTAGTAGACGCTTTGAAGTTTATTCAAGAACATAGGGTGTTCTTTTTTGTGCCTTAGGGAAAAGGAGAGCAATAAGAAATGATGAAATTTATTTCTCTAACATATTATGTGTCTCCTTGACAGAAGTTAACTGTTGTGATGGATTTTAAGACATTGTGGCATTTGAGCTTGTTGAAATTACATAATGTACATTTAGTTTAAATACAAAGCAACAGCTAAGCAATGCCCCTTCATCAAGTTCTGTTATCCTGATCTTTTAGAAGAGATTCACAATAACAATTTTAGTATGAAGGTGCCGCCATACTAAACAGTATGGACTGCAGAAGAACATAATAGAATAGCCAGTTTTTATGCTTAGATATTCAGGGTTTTGAAACATTTATAGTAAGAGGATATGCAATCATTTAAGGTTGTATTAAAAATGTTTTCTTGATATGCATGAGTGCAGTGTACTTCATTGTACAGACAAAATCATTTTCTTCATTTATTGTTTGGTTCAGAGCCTTAATGTTGAAATCATTGGCAATAAACCAGAGTGGTTTAATGGACTGAAGTAAGATCATCAGCTGTGTTGATGGACTCATCCCAATGAAATTTAAGTTACAATTACAATCCTAAACATTGTGCTATTGGAGGAAATCATCCTGAATTCAGTGAAATTTAACTGTATAGCCATTTCCACACTATTGATTTATAATATCTTATAGCATTGTCTAGTTAGCTGCAGAGATTGGCTGGATGTCCACTATAAAACAATATAAATCATTGGTGTGAAAATAATTTAAATAAACATGCACATGTTAAGCCCCACGGAGATTTCTGAGGAAAGTTAGTCACAAATAGCTAAGTCAGCACTAATTTTAGTAAAGTACTAAGTTTAATTTGCTACAGATTGCTGCTCTTAGTATACCGTAGCTACTAGAAAATATGAGCTACAGAATTTGGTGCGGTTTGGTTTTTTTGACTTAATATGGAGTTATATAATGAGTTTATAATTTTATAACTTCATTAATCTTGGTGAAGTTCAACAATTTAGGAATTTGCATTGAATATTTCAGAAAGAATTTGTTAGAATGTATGAGAATAATGTCATTACTTGCTTGAACCAAATAAGTCTGGATCTTGTACATTACCAGGACAGAAGATTATTTGGGAATCCCCTGTTTCATTGTGGAAGAAAATGAAGTGTAGATGAGATAAGCCAATTTAATCGAATAATAGTTACTTAGTCCCAAGAATATATTGCAAGTACAACAAAAAATTGGATTTTTAGGGTTGGTGCCTTTTGTTTCTAATGAAAATAGGAAAATTAACTTTTCTGTACTCTGAATTTACTGCAGAGCATAATAAACCAGTGATCAATCGGAGTAAATCCTGCAGGGATCTTTCTCTAGGAACTTTTGTTGTCTGTTTCTGTCTGTTATTTTATCTCTGAGAGTACACTCTAATGAAATGCCTGGCATGCCTTTGCAAAGTGTTACTGTGCAAAAGTGTTAGGCAGTTGTGCAAAATTGCTGCACATTAAGAATGCTTTCAGAAATAAAAGTGTTGATAGTTTATTTTTATCAATTAACAAAATGGAAAGTAAACAAAAAGAAGAGAAATCCAAATCAAATCAATATTTGGTGTTGCCACCCTTTGCCTTCAAAACAGCACCAATTCTATAAAGTCAGGAATTTTATAGAATTAGAGTCAGGTGCTAATTGGTCAGATTGGTCAGATTAACCAATTATACCAAGCAGGTGCTAATGATAATTAATTTCCTACGGAAGTTGAAACCAATCATAAACAGAAACAGATGCCTAGGAGCTAGGATGCTTAAAACTGGTGGAGGAACAGCCAAACCCTGCTACTAGGGTGAGGTTGTGGAACTCAGTTTCATGTCACAGGTCACACACCATGGCAAAACTGAGGACGGAAACAAGGCACAAAGTAATTATACAGCATCAGCAAGGTCTCTCTTGGGTAAAGATTTCAAAGTACACTGGGGTTTCAAGATGTGCTGTTCAAACTCTTTTGAAGAAGCACAAAAAAACAGGCAACGTTGAGGACTGTAGATGGAGGGGTCAATCAAGGAAACCATGCAGCAGATGAAAGACACATCATGCTTACTTCCCTTTGACATTGGAAGATGTCCAGCAGTGCCATCAGCATGGAACTGGCAGAAACCAGTGAGACCCAGGTATACCCATCTACTGTCCTGAGAAGTATGCCCAGAAGTGGTCTTCATGGAAGAATTGCGACAAAAAAGCCATACTTCTTGATGCAGAAACAAGGCTAAGCGATTCACTATGCATGAAAACATAGGAACTGATGTGCAGAAAAATGGCAGCAGGTGCTCTGGATTTGATGGGTCATAATTTGAAATATTTGGCTATAGCAGGAAGGACTTTGCTCACCCAAGGGCTGGAGAACGGTATAATAATGAGTCTGTAGGCAACAATGAAGCATGGGGGAGGTTTCTTGCAAGTTTTGGGCTGCATTTCTGCAAATGGACTTGGAGATTTGGTCAGGATCAAAAGTGTTCTCAATGCTGAGAAATACAGGCAGATATTTATCCACCATTCCATACCTTCAGGGAGGCATGTGATTGGCCCCAAATACATTCTGCAGCAGGACAATGGTCCCAAACATACAGCCAATGTCATTAAGATACACTCTGCTAGAGAGAAGTTCCCTGAAGTTCTCTCTAGCATGGACTCCAGCATGAGTCTAAAAACTCAGAAGACTAAACCTCTGGTCCAGGTGACCAACCCAGATTGGATCCATGGAACATAATTTGCCTTCATTAATCATTAAGAACTACCTTCAGTGTAAAAAATAACAAAAAGTTCCTGGAAATGATGGTTTGGCCCCCACAGAGCCCTGATAACAGCATCACATCTGTTTGGATTACATGAAGAGACAGAAGGATTTGAGGCAGCCTATATCCACAGAACATCTGTGGTTAGTTCCCCAAGATGTTTAGAACAACCTTGAAGGAACCTTGTCAAGTTCTTTCAAAAACTGTGTGCAACGGTCCTAGAAGAATTGATGCTATTTTGAAGGCAAAAGGCGAGCACCCCAAATATTGATTTGATTTGGATTTCTCTTCTGTTCGTTTACTTTCCATTTTGTTAATTTATAAAAATAAAGTATTAACACTTCTATTTCTGAAAGCATAATTAATTTACATCATTTTTGCACAACATCCTAACACTTTTGCACAATTCTTTAGGTCTGCTGTGATGTACTACAATTTTTGATAAACATTTGATGGCCGAGCCACAGTTAATACTGTAGGGCTGAGAACGGCAAAGTATGCATGTAGGTGTAGCAGCGTTTTGACTGGGGGCTTTGGGGTACATTCTTTATTTCTAAATTATGATAGAATATTTCCCACTTCAAAATAGCAATGTTTCAGCAAAGATCCAGGAGCTGTAGAGGGCTAAAAAGGTGAACAAGAATATCCATACATATGTATCCAG